ACAGCTTACAACATTCTACAATGACATGACTGCCTTCTGGTCTTTTCTGACCTTTGACATTTAAATCCCAGAGTACAGTACAATTAGCATGGAACTAGATCAAATGTGTTGGTCAACAGTTCTTTCAGGGCAAATTTTCGGCGATACCAAAAGGCATATAAAGAGCACGATCGGACTTCAGTACGTAAAGAAACCGATGGAAACAATACTTTCTTACACCGGGAAAAATGATCATTTCAATATCTCGTTTTGTCCAAGACGCGGCAAATGTGTTTCAATAGCTCATGTTCGACGCGTTAAAAAGCGGTCATCATCGACTGCAGTACCGGGATCGGATTTTACTGGTGGTTAAAATTACGGAATTGAAATTACACTTGGAAGTAAGATCACTGTGGATGAATGGACTGACAACTTCGAAAACCCTTCCAAGTTCGGAGACATATTAGGCTTTTTCTGGTCTTCCTTTTCACTGAAGCTGCACTTTCCGTTGGGTTTGAAATATATTACAGTGGCGAGGCGAATACCGTTTGAAAAACTGCGCCGGCTTTTCCCGCACACTTTGCTTATCATTATCAGTATTAAATATATGGGCTGATTCAGCTAGTTCAACTCCAAAGTAGTTCTTAAAAGAACCTTTGAATTTATCAGTGGAGTCTTCAGAGTTGTCTGGCGGCCAAACCCTCCAACAACTGGTCGGCAAATCCTGACCGCGCTTGAAACCGACCGTTGGACACAAAATTATTGTTTTAGTTACAGAATATTACGAGGTTACCGGAGTCTCACCGGGCCTCAGGCAAAAATGTGAAAAGACTGCACGAACGAAATAACGTCATTACCAGATAACCAGTTGTATCAAGGTAGAACATGAAAGCAGAACAGACGATGATTTTCCGCGACCGGATCAACGATGGTGAAACATACTACTGAACGTGGGAAAAAGGAGCGTCAAGGAAAAAGAAACCGATCAAATTTCACGCTATAAATGACAGCAGAACAGACTTCTATTATTTGCTGGTAAATAAAACTTTAATAAACAACTAACATTATATTGTAAGCATGTGTTCAAACAAAAGGTCAAGCAGTCAGGGAGTGTCAAGTGACACACTTCAGTCAGTGATCGCATCCGGAATGNTGACCGCGCTTGAAACCGACCGTTGGACACAAAATTATTGTTTTAGTTACAGAATATTACGAGGTTACCGGAGTCTCACCGGGCCTCAGGCAAAAATGTGAAAAGACTGCACGAACGAAAAAACGTCATTACCAGATAACCAGTTGTATCAAGGTAGAACATGAAAGCAGAACAGACGATGATTTTCCGCGACCGGATCAACGATGGTGAAACATACAACTGAACGTGGGAAAAAGGAGTGTCAAGGGAAAAGAAACCGATCAAATTTCACGCTATAAATGACAGCAGAACAGACTTCTATTGTTTGCTGGTAAATAAAATTTTAATAAACAACTAACATTATATCGTAAGCATGTGTTCAAACAAAAGGTCAAGCAGTCAGGGAGTGTCAAGTGACACACCT